GTAACAGATACTATATAAAATATTTTAAAATTAACACTGCTGAGCCGCTGGTTATGTGTAGAATCGATTGGTTACAAACAAAAATCTCCGCTTTACGAAAATAAACCTAATTCGTTTCTAGAAAGTCGCTCGTTAAAGTCAAGTAAAATAAACTTAACATTTTATCCTTGTAGGCGCTCTTAAACTTACAACAGGTGAGAGAAATTAAACAAAATAAGCTGATTATGAGGTCAGTGCACTGCAAAATTTTATGTTATCAAGATTGTCACACTTCTGCATCCCGCTGCTAGGCAACAAGGAGATATATTTTTTTTTGGAATAAATTTCTTCAGTCACAGAAAGTAACAGCAATAATATTCATTGCTCCGTCAACCCGTGTACTCATACCGATGCAAAGTCTAGAATACGTGGAGCTTCACCTCCGCGATTACTGTACACCTTCGCATCATGTTCATTAGCGTGGTGTTTAGTCCGGTGGCATGTTCATCTTATCCGTGTCGAATTGTCTCTTTTTTCGTGGTAGTTTCCATCTTAAATTTTTATTGTAAAAATTATATAAGCTTAGCAGAAACAGCAAGTCTTTGATGTCTGTTTGTAGTTTTCTTTATACAATCAGCCTTTGATAACTATACAGTCACAAACATAAATTCTGTAGGACTTCGATCAAAGTTCTTATTTCAAGGCAAAATGTCTTGCCATTCGCTTGTATAAAAACGCTAGCATCTTCTTAGAAAAAAAAACTATACTTCAGGAAGTCCCAAATACGAATCAGGGGTAGTAAAATTTACATCTCTATGAACCGACTGTATCACACCATCGTAAGAACAGTACAGAATCTAGCCCTGGCTAATACAGCCCCTAACAGCTGATTTAAAGTCGTACAGAGATTAGGGTCATACTCTTCTGATGGACCCCACAGAGTAGGTTTTATCACGAGCACAGAACGAGCCCCTGAAACTTTGTGGCTTCATTTTAGTATACTAGATAATATGGGTCTTTTAGTCCAGCAATAAGTTACTAAATATAGTATACCACCGCTAAAGCCGTTTAGAGTTATTCTGAAAAGAGATTTCGCTTTTTCCTAAAATTGAGTTTCGTGAACTTAATTCCTTTATCCACTGATACGCAGTCAAAATCCTATACGTTCTCGTTGTTTGTAATTAGAATAAAAATGTGGACTATAATGCAGCCGTTCGTTTCTTGTAAAACTGAGGCGTCATAAACAATTACTCAGAACGAATCATTCTGTCAAACCGCTAACCATAAATCTGTTCTGAGCATTTATCTGTGACCGGTATCTGACTTTTGTGGTTACCGAATTACATATAAAGCAGTCGGATTCCTTCTCGTCATTCATTGTCATTGAAACACAATTCTAAGAATCTCACATAACAACACGAACGTTCCAACATGATCTCGTCCCAGAATGAAGCATATGTGTTGGGAATGCATGAAACAGCTGGTCGTCGTGGACACAGAGCTGCCAGATGAGGTACAGACTGGGCCCAAATTCTGGGCACACACTGCCGATATTATAAATTGTCATTATATTCTCATTTCCATATTCTGTGACAGAACTACAAAATCGGAACTCTTATTTATGACTGGTATTGTGATTGTTTTAACTGTAATGAATTTGTTGTCACCATATTTATTAGTCACTAAGAAATAAAACACTGTTATAGTCCACAGGTTTATAAATACACCTAAGATCTAAAACGAAATGTGTGACAAAAATAATCAGAAATATAATCAGTTCCCTGTTGGGTTTTAATTCTTATCCTCCTTCTTATCCTGTGCAAAGGGAAGTAAATATGAACTGGCTAGGAATATGAAGAAATTATGCATCCCTCGTCACAGCTTCGCGTCGAGCATAAATGGCAGTTGAATGACGTGCGGGTATAACACCATTATGAAAATTTGTAAAATGGTGCATTAGTATTAATTTTTTAAATGCGTAACTGACATAAAAACGTGGCAGTAATGACTTGTGAGAACCTTACTGGCCTTTTATGCAACTCGAAAGATCACTGCCGCAACGCAAGCAGTAAAACTCCCCCATGCATTCTACATGCCTTGATCGGTTGATCATCTTTACAACACTAGCGGTTAGAACGCTGGCCTTGTAATCCTGGGGTCTCGGGTTCGATTCCCGGCGGTGCCTGAATTTATAACTTGTGTTGGACAAGGCCGTGGTCTAGGCAACACGGGGTTTTCCTCCGTGGCATCCCAAAAATTACTCCATTCACACACAGAAGAAGGCAATGGCAAACCACTTCTGGATCATCTGCCAAGAACGTATATGAACAGGTCCCAGTCCGAGAAAAGGATGGAAGGATCCTGTTCATATGGACCTGTCGTCAGACATAACACTAAATAAATAAATAAATAAAGAGTACAAATTATGTAGATCATTAAGGAATTTTTCTCAGCCTTAATTTCTCCCTCCAGCGTAGGTCCAAATATTCTGCCAAAATTACGGATGTTTGGGGGATTGCCACAAAACATCGGATTAATGAAACAAAGCAGAAAAATGGCAACAAACGAGCGTTTATTTCTCAGTGTCTGCTTGTGGGATCTAACCAAAGAACCTTAAGGGTCTGTGATAAAGACTACGCTATGGAAAACAATATTTAGGGACATGTTTTATGGCCTGGTGGAAGTTCGGCTGTTACAAACAAATCACTCACCACCAGTCGTTAGGGTGTCAAAACAAAACAGTAAGTAACTTCACAATAGCCGTCCCAGGTAAGTGAATTAGTTGCCGCTGTCCACAGCAGAGTCGAACTGGCTGCTTGATTAGAAAGTGCGTTCACTGACAAACTTGATTGCAACTCTCACCTTCCACCTCCCTTAGAAACGGCTGTTACAAATGTAAGTTGATTCAATCCGACTGGTCTATTCCGAATTCAAGAAGTCGTAACAACGGTCCACAGAATTTATTATCTTAAGAATTAATTCTTAAAACTACGAAGCAGTCTGTCAATCTACATTCGAAAAGGCTGTGTAACGGAATCTGGTCAATGAATGCCTGCAACAGCTGTTTTCGAGAAAATACATGAATCATCATGAACCCTCTTCTTATTAGTATCTGTCTTTATAGCAGGCCATACAGATCTGATACTTTATGATGACCCTTGATGATCTGAAGAGGGGAAAGTGATGTCGGTAGCAGAGGAGCCATAAATCCAAACAAAAATATATTTACCTCTCTTTACCATAACTTACGCTACAAATAAGCAGGATATTTACTGTTGTTCCATTAGACTTTTACTGTGACTGAATTATTTCTACTTAATATCTATTCATTGTATTATAATAGTGTCACACTAAGAACTGGTGTTTTTATACTTGCTAGTATCATTTTACTAAAATTTTGAAACTTCAGTGACACACACAGTCCATGAACAGTAAGCTTCTGTGGGTAGACTTGACCAAATTACAGCGCAGCGGAAACCAAAGGCCAACATAAACCACTGAAACTGTACACAGATTTCAATAGGCGAGTCGTTTGTTAATTTTAATCCACGTATAGAAACACAAGCATTGATTGAAACATGTACATTATCATTTTAATTAAAACGCACAGTAGCCTTTCACAAACAAAGTATTAGTTGGCAGCTTAAAGTTTTCAGATCCGGCTTTTTCGATATCATAATCTCACTCGTTGCTAACTAACGAGGATTTTTATACGAGTTTTTGTTCGTTTTGGAATGTACGAAATCCACACATTTACGTGATTTCAATATCTTATTATATTTGGTCGCTGGCATAACAAATATATTACAAAACTGAAACCAATATTACTGGATGCTGCAGTCTTGGCCATTCCGATTAAATTTATGCAGAAAGTCTGCCGATCGAGTCCCAGAGCCAGTAATCTTTGTTATTAGATTTCATTGTAACGATGATATTTAGCAGTGTTTTGGCGTCAAGTAGACTTGTTCGGCAGAAGCTAACGTTACGGAGTAACACACCGCCTACATCTTCAGGGCTGAAGAGAATGCAGCTAGAAACATAACAAATACGGGACAAAGTATTGTAGGGAAGACTTGATAATTCTGATTGCTTTCATGACGGAATTGATGGATGATTAACAATTAGTAACGAAAAAGAACTTGGACTTACAGTAATGAATTAGGAGGAAGACAATAAATGATATGTTGGAACAGGTCCTGTAAAAAGTCAGTACGACACTGATGTTATCGTACCTCCTAGTTCTGACAGACAAAGAAATGGCTGAAAAACCTGACGTGTCGGTGTTTGTGCCTGAGGTTTGCCGCAAAGACTTAAGACACACTCAATTATACCCGACCTTATGGCTGGGCAAGTTCGATGCCTGAAAGACTGTGGCAAAATTTCAATTTTGGGTTGAAGCGGATTCTTTGTAACAGCCCCCCCCCCCCCCCCCAAGCCGCATCTCTCTTCACATATCCCTACAAGTGCGAGGCAGAAAATGAAGGAAAGAAACTCAATATTTCTGTTGTGTTTTTCCCTATCTTGATTTATTACGATCCTTTGTAACACACCCACATCCAGATTCAGAGGAAATTGCTGCTTTCATTTACAGCAGAGTTTGTTCCTGAGTGTGAGTGACTGAGTGCCGTGGCTCGCTGTCCATTCATGCCAGGCGAACTCCATCATTCATCCGGTAAACACCACAGACCCGCCATCTGAAGCGAATGTCCCTGTATTAGGAACCACTGAATCGGTTTCCCAGTATCGTGTACTGGCAACGACGTGGCCACCGCAATCAAGACTTGATTTGGGAATTAGTGTAAGGGTTCAGTTCCCGAAATAGGTACAGCGTCCACCCTTCTACCCACAGGCTAGCTGAGGGTCCCTCGACCGCGGTAAAAAGGACGTGGCGTGAAGCCCAAACTCCTGCCTCCATCTAGTGAAAAGGTCAAGAATGAACATCGCGACGAGCAATAGGCCTCGACCTACCGGCTAGCAACTCCCGGCTGGCAGGAGCTGCTTAACTGCAGTCTGAAGATCGGTTCTGTTCCAGTGAGCCACGAAAGTTAGACAGAAACCTTCTTATTCTGCAATGTTAGCCGGGCTAACATGGTTAACATGCCCACATCTGAGGACACGTAATCTAGACACTTTTCAGCGAGATGTCACGCAGTTGGAGTTAGCATTTGTGGTTGGTGACGTGCAAGTCATGTGACTGTGAGAAAATATACATTAAGGATTTAATAAAAGTAGATTTAGGACTAGAACTGAACCAAATTTTCTCCTTTGTGTGAAGCAAGGAATGAGACTCAGTGCTAACGTCTGGCGTCCAGCAGTCGTCGTCAAGACACAGGTAAATTCTGTATTGCTCAATATTCGTACACACAGAAACCTTTGCTGCTGGTATTCAAAATATGCAGAATTATCGGTTTGTTAACGTCACTGGCATCTTCCAAACCTCAATCGTCTTTCTTCTCTATCTATTGTCCTGCGTCTATTTCTGCTAATGCATCGTGCATTCCTTTCGCCCTTTTCTTTGAACTCATTAACAAACCACAAGAGTGAAGATATTCCGGAAATCCTCATTAACCTATGTATCCGTGCACCAAACATGTAAGACGCCAAGTTTTAACAAATCCAGTGTTTATTTATGTATGTGTGTCCACATAAATACGTCAGCGGTGTGGGAGAATCGAAAGAAGTTGGAGTCAAGGATAAAGAATAACGAAAGAAAGAAAGAAAGAAAGAAATATAAGTTTAAAAGAGACGAAACTATAATAAATAAAGGAACCAAACGAATGCACATCATTATGTTAACACTACTTGTTTAAATGTAAAATGCCAACACAGAAGTTGAGTAAGCCTAATAAATGCAGTTTCCAGTGGCGTTGTCCTTCTGACGACACACGTGCGTCTTCCTACAAGACGTTAATTTATTACTTAAGTATATTCATAGCATAATTCAAAGTGAAAGGCCTGTCTGGCCTGTCTGACTGACTCTGATGCTAATGATACGCTGTTTCGTTGTATGGTCAGTGCCCAAACTAACAAAACACTAACTAGGAGGTGCTATGAATGTTCCAGGCTTTGAATGGCTGGTTCAGCCCACCTTCTGCTTGCTTATTGGCTGGCAACGAGTGAAAAAAACTCTTCTCACATACGCGAAACCCTTCTCTCATTTAACGTCAAACAACTGATCTCTGCACACAGAACGTGCTATTGTTTTTTCCTTGTGGGCATGACGTGCTACAAAGAAAGGGCTTTCTTCGTGCAGTGGGAAGAGACGAAAAGAACTGCGCGTGAGGCAGAGGCAGACGAGACTAGATAACGATCCTGTTAGGTTTATAATTTGTATTTTTAGTTCGTAACTCCCCCACTCTTAAAATGTTCCTTTTAGCAAAGGGCAAATATCGCGTGCATTTAATTGCTACCTTTCAAACTCGACCTACACAAAATAATAAGCCCAGCTACAATTTTCTCACTCCTGTAACTCGTACACCTGGCTCGCTCTGTCAACCACAAGGGATCTAATTTTCAAATGCTTGGGGACACCCAAGTTTAAACTTCAACGCAACCATGGGAGTAAAATTATAGTACTGATGGTCCAAGGGCTTAACTTTGGGCACACGCGGGTAAACGCTACAGTTTAACAACGATCTGACCAACATCTACTTCAGAATCGATATCGGCTCCAGTGTATCCTTAATTAATAACACGATTTTGACGTTGCACGCCTACAGCTACAAAATTGTTTGTATCGGTTTTATTTTTAATCTTGTTTTCGCTTACGCTAAAATAAATTTTATATTTTTTATATCAATATTCTCCTCAGTTGAAGAAAATGTCCCTTCGCTCATTAGGCAATTCCCGAAATAATACGACGGGCCACATGAACATGTTACGAGGGCTAAATACGAAAGTTCCTCAGTACAGCTCTCTTTAAATTAATGCAACATTAATTCAGTTACTGTCTATGCTTACAATACGAGTAAGTGCACCAGTGGGAAGCAGCTATGGAAGTAGACAAACTTCTTTCTGGAGGAACACACAAATTGTGCAGACTATTTGTGCATTTGTGTGTGTGGGTCTGGAAATATTTAAATAGGATTTCCCAATCCTCCTCCGATGTTGTTTTTTGAGGTCCGCTTACATGTCTTTGTAATTCTGTGTCACTCTGCATGAGGAAAAATAGTTAACTGATATCAGAAAATATGTTCTGTTAATATCATCAGTATCTCATCAGTAACTCTAAGCAAATGTTCACCTAAATGAAGAACGTCTAATCAAAACCTAGGAAGAGTTTTACTGATAGACAAATGCTAGTACGCAGAACAGAAATTAAATCTATAAAGGAAATATTCCTCAAACAAAAACGGTGTCAGATATCTGGTTACTAGCTGAGTTTGTTACGGAACACAACTGAATAACATGTTACCTTGTTTGCAACGGTAGGCCTAATTCAGACCTCAAGATGAAAGCAGCATGTTCCTTAAAAATGTTCGCATCTGCCTACAAGTTCCCCACATGGTGTTACTGTCCAGGTTTCGTGAGAATCTCAAATCGCGTACCTATACGATACTGGTAACTCGGTAACGCCAGTCGTTACTAAAGTAGACAGATTTGCAAATGTTAAAACTTCAAGGATTTATGGGTTTATTGGAACGAGTGAAGAAATATGTTTACCATAATGGCGGTCATATTAAAATATAACATAGGTTGAATGACCAGCAACCGGAACACGCCGTGGGATACGAAGGTACTTGGATAAAACGTCTAAGGAAGTGGAGATCTAAAGCGTGCCTAATTCGCAGCATGAGGTCTTAAAACACAGCCGAAAATATGAGAAAGAATGTTTCATTATGGGGTCCAATTCTCTGGAAATCAAACCATAGAGAAGTAGGTGTAATTTTCAATTATTTATTCTTTATGGGTGATAAATAACATCACTTTTCCTACAAAGGTCTTTTGTGTGTTTTGGACTGATGGATACAGAACAGATGGTGTTGATCACAATGGAATTCTTCAGTGGAAAGTACGGGTCATGTATCTCCTGGTAGACAAGGGCTCTGGTAAAACACAGCCCGCATAATAACCAGTGTCGCGAGTAGAAATGATAATGATTTTTAATTTCTCATAAGTTAAAAAAATTGTGATCTAAAAATTGAAAGAAAAAACATACGAAGGATATTCAAATTCTGCGATCCTTTTGAAGGAAACAATCCTTAATTCAACACATCGTGTGTTTTCTACGAGTAAGTAACTTCAGCTCACGTGTGAATGTTAATATGATCATACGGTATCAATTAGGGATGCTAAGTAAGTAAGTAAGTTACAAGTTGAAGCTCATTTAAATGCTTTGTATCGGCATTTACATGCAGAATGTGGGGAAAACCTTGAAATTCCGGGCCTCTGGATTATGAAAACGCGTATGCCACTGCCTATTTATGGCAACTAATATGCAATAAAAATTCTCTCGTTTATTGAATGAACAGTTCACGTTACAAGTTACACCTCGTGGATTGAAGCTTCTTCATAGGTATCTGAAATTCGTATTCTTAATTTGAAGTGACATATATAATATTAGATTGCAAACACTGAAGTTCAGACGAATATTCCATTTTATAGTTAGTTCTTCTCTTCTGAGGTCGTGTAAAAGCAGAATAGAATGCTTCCTGTAGTGAGCGAACCACGCCAATGGAGATGAAGCCTATGGCCTGTGCCTGTGGGAATGTGGCTTGATGTAACCAACCCTAAATGGTTCCCCATCTACCTGCCATTTCAAGTCCCTACAAGCTGCTTAGATCACAGTCGCTGGCTGGCGATTCCGGCCTGTGTTTATGAATAGTTCAAGTTACCAGAACCGTCCCTCTGTCCTTCTGCTATTCTGCCCTCAATCAACAAGAACCCGAAATTATAACAATAACAGTAATAATAACAACAAAAATAAATAACCGGAAGTGGGTAATCAACTTCTCTGAAATTATCAAAGGGGCAATCACAATTTTACCATCGCCACGAGTTACTCATTATTTTATTGTTTGCTTAATAAGACCATTTCCGATCTTCTTTGAGTACCCTCTTTCCGCGTCCAACAGAATTTCAATCTTCTTGTTCCCGAATTCACATACTTTCATACCTCGACCCACAGACCCGTGAAATTAGGTGACTGGTTTCCATTTGCTTAATTCTAGTTTAAGACTACGCTAATACCGAGAAGTCCTACTTGTTATGGCAATGGTTTTAACCATTCCTACCAAAATAATAAGTTATTTCTAACCTAATAATTCTCATGCTGCATGTAACTACAGGTAGCCCTCGATTTACGCCGGGGATGCGTTCCTGGACGAACCGGCGTAAACTGAATCGGCGTAAATTGAAACTCTTTTATAATGTAAATCAATGGGACGTCAATGACATGCGTTTCAAGCACCCAAAACATTGACGAGTAATATAATGGCATTACATTTAAACGTCTGAAATAACGTAAATAAAATAAAGGGAATTTAAAAAATATATTTTATTCACTTACAATCGGAAATTCGTTGGTGCCCGCGATTGACTGTGATTCTTTCATGTGATTGATGTGTACAGTCATCTCTGCTGTTATGCGATAGTTGCATTCATGTAAGACGCCGACCTATAGAAAATCGCGTAGTAAAAATAACCCCGGTACCTCCGCAGAGATTAAATTAGTCCTTTGAAAGTTTAAAGCGCCAGGAATTAAATTGCATAAGAGCAAACTCGCATACCCAAAAGTTTACATTTCACAAACAGCTTTTATCGATTCATCGATCTCACTGGAGTAAATTCGCGTTAACGAAACATCCCGTGAGTGTCTAAGTATGAACAAAGTAAGTTTGAGTACTGCCTTCAGTCGAGATTGATTTCACCAGAACTTTACAGCAGTAACAGTCTGAACTTTTTGCATTTGCACAAGAATTCTCTTGTAGTTTTCCGATCAGATTACCTGCATACACTCAATTTTTTCGTGGTTTTACAAGCCCCTCCATAGAAATGCTTAGGATGGTACCATACCATCCTTCTACATAATCACCAACACCAAACATGATTATGCAGAAATTGAGGTTTTCACGGCGGTGAGTCTGAAGATGGCTGTCTTCTGGGCTGTCGGGCCGTGTATACTGGTAGAAGTTTACCGACGTTTCAGAGGTTCAACTTATCGCCCTGACGATGTAGGCAGCAAGGACCTCTGAAACTAAACTTCTACCAGACTACACAGCGCAACAACCCAGAAGACAGAAATCTTCAATCATGATTATTTTGCCAGTTTCATTGGAACCTGCCGAAACTTCGCGCTTCTCAGTTTCTCAACTTTGAACAAACTTTTTTTTT